GAGAGAGAGAGATAGAGAGAGAGAGAGAGAGAGAGAGAGATGGTGATGAGAGATGGAAAGAGAGTGAGGAAGAAACGCCTGGCGGAGATATTTATACGATGAAAGGTGACGGACTCGTCGATGGAGTGAAGGGACAAAAGTGTCCAAATAGACTGATGATATTATTATTAAGTTGAATCTCTCCTGACGACCTATACGACGCCGTTTTCATTTTAACAGAATCTTTTTTTTTTATTAATATTTTAATTTGGGATGTGTGTAGTTGACATTTCTTTTTTGTTATTATAATGTTTTTCCTCAATCAAATTTGGTGTGCCCTGCCCATATCGAACTTGGACACTACCTCTTATTTTGGTCTATTTTATATGTCTCAATAATTGTCAAAGTGGTTACGTTAGCCTTTGAAGGTGTTGAATGGTCAGACCATTAGGCTCTTTTTTTTTTAAATTAAATAATACATTAAGGTTACAAGATAGAATAAAAACAGTTAAATAAGAGTTTTACAAACCCAACCAACTTGTATAGTTCTACCGTGAAAGTGAAACGATTGCGTAAAACGTTTCTCATCGGAATTCGAATATCAAATTAAAAAAAAAAGATAATATATGCTAATCATTTACTCTCATAATTAGTCTGGACACATCGACGACCCAAGTTCATGGGTTTAAAAAAAACAAACAAACAACTAATACAAACATTATCATACAAACCCATGTTAAGATCTAAACCTAAAGTCACCAATTTGGGTTATATACGAAAAAACCTAATGAGCCATTTAATATAGGCCTGCATTTTCTGGCATTTTATTTTGATATTCAGCCCAATCACAATATATATATTGGGCCATAAAATATCTATATATTAAAAGATATTTCATATCCACATTTGTAAATTCATATAAGATCTTTTTAGACTTTGAGAAAAAGATTCCATATAATGCGCTTGACACAAAAAAGAATAAAAACAATAAGAACTCGAAAGAGAAGCAAGTTGGTTAACAGAAATCTGAAAAACAGGCACTTTGTTTATTCATTCATTCCGTCATTTCATTTTCGTCTTCAGGGGGAAAAAAAGAGTGCACTCAAACCAGAATACAATACAACAGACGAATGGAATCTCACCCAAGCCATAAGATAATCAAAACCACTTACCACACACACACATAAATGGGACACCAAACCAAACCTCTATGTGCCTTTTGTCGGGAGGGAAGAGTGCTTCAGGCACCAACCTTTCCAAACAGCCACTTCCGGATCTGCACAATGAACATTCGTGTACCATTGTGTTTTTACAGGTTTCGGGAGGAAAAAAATCTGATTGGATACAATATAAAAGTGTGATTGAAGAAGCTAATTGAATTTGGTGGCATTATGATGACAAAAAAAAAAAAAAGAGGGTCTTCTTCCTCCGCTGGGGAAAAAAGGGCAGCTGGAAGAATTTTCACGGCAAAGGAGAAAGGGATGAGCAAAAGATGAAAGTGCAAGGCACAATTTACCTCAGGAAGCTGCTTGCGGAATGCAACCTCAAGCCTTGCATCAAGTGTGTTCTCACACACTATCTTCCCATCGCGTGATGCCAGCACCACTCCTCCCGAACTGTAATTAGTTAAGAGCAATTTCCATGACGAATGTGCATTTATGTTTGTCTCTTGTAATTCAAAAACCAAACTTGCCCGGGTAATATAACCATATCTATACCAACATGGCAGCAGGAAAAGCCAGTACCCATCATATATGCATGCTCTTCGTACAGGTGTGGTGTGTATATGTGTAGGTGATACAACGATCTGATCTGAGATTGGTTAGAGAAGGGGAAAGGTTTTTACCAGTGAGGACCAATGTGATCATCTCCAGAAGGAGCAGCTGGGAGGAAGACATCCTTGTCAACTAAGATCTCGGGGGTGTGAACCTTTGCTTTCTCAGCGTACTCATCTCTTGCATCATCCAGTACGGATTCCACCATTTCCAGATCTTCTTCACGACAACGCAGTAATACTGAAGGTTCTTTCAGTCTAAGCAAACACTGCAATGCATAAGATCGATTCCCACGAAAAACTGAATCAATGTATCCCTGGAAAATAAAGCTAGGGACAGGATTTTCCAGAAGCTCTGATGAACTTGTCTCCAAACCCACCTGAACAATGAGATCTTTCAAAAGGTTTTTATACGCATGGTGGTGATGACCGAAGAAGTTGTGATGGCTAACTTTCAGAAGTTCCTTTGCCGCTTCCTCTTTCATTTGATTGACAATGTCATCTTGGGCTTGTAGAACTTTGATCCTTGATGCATTCAGCTGCATGGAATACTCACTGAACAGACATGCACAAACACGCTCAATCACATAAGTTCAGAGGGAAAGTTCTCTTGTTAACGGTAACACCGACATCTTACAAACATTTTGCAAGAAAATAAGACAGAGGATTACAAACAACCATTCACAGAGATATATAAATCGATTGACACCCCTATATGCCTATGTGCACATGGTGACATGTTCGACATACTCTTCAGTAACCATTAGTGGATAAAACAAACAAAAAACGGCAATTTCAGATAACCCAAATCATGATTTCGACCTAAAAACAGATCGAACAAAGAAGACAGATCTCAAACAATGGCAAACAGACACCAGAATCCCGAAGAATATAATGTTAGTATCTTAATTAGATGAGGGGACAAGAAGGTAAGCTCACATCTTCTTTCGGACCTCCACTTGCTTCTCCTTCTTCTCATACTCCTGTCTGATCTTCTTCTTCTCCGCCTCAACCAGCTGCAACTTCTCGATGTTGAATTCCTGCAACACCATATTCACATATCCACAATCAGACCATGATTCATGTCAATTATATGAACAAAACCAACTTCCAGATCAGTAATTTCCCCAGGGTGTGAACTCTAAGTGACACGAAATATAGTTAAGTTCAGAAAAATCAAATAATTCGAGGAGAAAAACTAAGATTTGAATGAAACATTCAGACAACGATTCATGTCAAGTAGTCGAACAAATCGAACTTGCAGATCAGCAATTTTCCAAGGCTATGAACTGTCAAAGAGAGTAACCATGGGGAGATTATGCAAAATCAAATAATTCTTCGAGGAAAATTAATATTGGAAGAAAACAATCAGACCACGATCCATATCAAGTAAACAAACAAGTCCAACTTCTAGATAAGCAGTTTCCCTTACGATATGAACTCTGACCAACACTAAACGCAGTAAAGTTCAGCAAAATCAATCAATTCTCCGACAAAAACTAAGATTCGAAGGAAACGAACTGCGATCTCACTTCTCCGACAGAGATCAGCGCGACTAAACAAAAATACCTCAGAAAAGGAGCGACCAAACCGGAAAAAAAAAACGCAGCCGCACAGTGAAACTCGGAAAAAAATCACTGCGAGATGAACAGATAGATAGAGAGAGAGAGAGAGAGAGAGAGAGAGAGAGAGAGAGAAGAGTGACGAACTTCTTCGGCGGAGATGGAGATCTCGTTGGATTTCTCTTCCGCTTCCTGGCGGATGAACCTCACCATCTGCTGGATCTGCTTGGAGACATCCGCGTCGTTCATCTTTGCCGGAAAAATTCAACCCACCAACTACGAAGGAGACGATAGATCGGCAAAACAAAAACCGCCCTTGCTACTCTGCTTCGAGATCCCGCAGTGATGATGAGGATGACGATGTGGTGATTCACAGATTGTCCTATTTGCAGACCACAGTTTTGTAATTATATCTGAGGGACAATCGGTGACCAATCAATGTTTTTCTTAGTCTATTTTTTTCTGTGAAATTACGAAATTCGGAGGGCTGAAAAGGAAAATTTAAAAAAATGAACGGAAGCCACTCTATTTATCAGAGCCTGGTTTCGATCCAGGGACCTGTGGGTTATGGGCCCACCACGCTTCCGCTGCGCCACTCTGATTTTGTTGTAATTAACATAAACTTTATATATTTGTTTTCTGTTACATTCCAATCAATCATATATTTTTAAGATTTGAAAAAAAAATTCATAATTGTCCGATTTATAATGTTTAAATAAATCCCATTTGGCCCTGTAGTGTCTTGAACTCTCTCTTTGTAGTTTGTACCGTCTCTCTTAAAATTCAGTTCAAGTTGTTCATTTTTTTTAGATATATCACGGCGCAAATCGCAAAACATTATTATGAAAAATACGTGAAATAAAATCGAAAATTTTGTAACTTATAAAAATTTAATAGTATTAATACATAATCCTAAAAGAACCTGTGAAAAAAATATTTTATCATTAAAATTTCCCTATCATTTTATATATAGTTCCACCATTTTTTTAAACTCAAAGATGAAGAGGAATTTATTCTTTACGAACAATTTTTGCGATTGTCGGGCCATGTATAATTAATCATAGTGTTTACAAATACAGTTGGGTATCAAACTATCAATGAATTAATAATTATATAAGAGATATTTACAATATATTAATTCAAATAAATCAAAACCATCCAAGTATAATGGGTCAGCCCATCCCTTTCGAATTTTATCTTTTTTCCTAAAACGTTATTATTGATTCCCTTTTGAAAAAACTAATAATTATCAAATTGTATGTGCAAATAATTCCCTTGCAGTTATCAAGCATATAAAATCCCAAACTTCCCATTCCTTCGCAGGGAGCTTTCTCGTCTGCTGCAGGAGCCGGATCGCGACTGAGTTCGGAGGATCTCTCTGAGGTAAACCCTAATTCTTTGGGAAATTCGGTGGATTGTCGCCCCATTTATTCGATCTTCGTCCTGTTTTGTGAAGATTTTCCGATTCGAAGCCGTTTTGGCTGAATCGATCTAGGGTTTGCTTGGATTTTTTTTGCAGGGTTTGTTTGGGCGAAATGGCGTCGAAACGGATCTTGAAGGAGCTGAAGGATCTCCAGAAAGATCCTCCAACCTCGTGCAGCGCAGGTTAGCACAAGTTCTTCGCTTTCATGTTTGTACCATTGTGTTTGGCTCTGTTTTTCCTAGATGATATTCTGTTGTCTGTGGCTTCGCGATTATCTGTTCATAGGTGAGATATTTTACCTGTTTCGGCAGTGTAATCTTAGTTTACGTAATAATTCTTCCCGAAGATAAAAAAAGAAACATTTGCTGTTGTTGTTGTTGTTTTTTTAATCTTTATTGGATTTTGGATGGTGATTCCCCTCCTCCAGCTGCGGATGCTTGTTTTTGGCTTGCCCTTGTACTATTTGATTTTGGTTTGCTGAGCTAAGTAGCCATGATTGATGGATTTTATGATTTTGCTGCACCCTTAGTCATGGCTCGGGATGCACCGTGCTAGTGTTTGCTCGTAGCAGCATGTGAGGTCAAGAAAAAAATGGTCTTCGTGTTCCCCAATTCTAAGTGAGAGCTTGTGAGATTTATTGTGTAGGTTGCTGCTGGTTTCTGATGTCTTGTGTATTGACGTTCACCTCCATCTGGATGGGTTCGACTTTGTAATCTGTGCCATTTGAAAATTTTGCGTAATAGTTTCTGCTGTTCACATCATCATCGTCTATGTTGCGTGGTTTTTTCTCCATTCTCCACTGTCTCCAAGAGGCTATCGTATGAAATGTTTAGTCTGCTCATGCATGAATATTCTAGAGGAAGAGCATACCTTAGAACATTGACGTGGAAGAGCATTTTATGTCTTCTCCTGTGTTCTCCTTTATGCATTACATAAGTTCATTTAGGTTAACTTCTGTTGTTTCCTTTGAATAAATTGAGTGTTTTTTTAGGTCCCGTTGCTGAAGACATGTTTCACTGGCAAGCTACCATTATGGGTCCTACTGACAGTCCATATGCAGGCGGAGTGTTTCTCGTCACTATCCATTTCCCTCCGGACTACCCTTTCAAACCTCCAAAGGTACTACTAACCTATTTGTATTTACCATTGAAGAACAAAGGAAACCATCGTCACAATATCAAAAGCAACTCTTAATCGTCGTTTGCTTCAGGTTGCATTCAGGACGAAGGTCTTCCATCCAAACATCAACAGCAATGGAAGCATTTGCCTCGACATCTTGAAAGAGCAGTGGAGCCCTGCGCTCACCATATCCAAGGTCATCATCTTCAGATCTTCTTTATATCATACCCCTTTTGCATTTGGAAATCATATTTGAGTCCATACCACTGAATTAATCTGATAAGGTTGTGCATTCTTTATGTCAAGCAAGACTTGAATGAATACACATCTGATTTCCTCTCTGGTCTATCACTTGACAGGTCCTGCTATCAATCTGTTCCCTGCTAACGGACCCAAACCCGGATGACCCATTGGTGCCGGAGATAGCACACATGTACAAAACCGATAGAGCCAAGTACGAGGCGACCGGGAGAAGCTGGACCCAGAAGTATGCCATGGGCTAACCTTTGCTTCAGCTCCTCGTATCACTCGGTTCTTACTGAGAGATGGCTTCTTCATCTATCTATCTTTTTCTTACAAAAAAAAAAAAGACCATCATCAACGAAAACAGATGGGATTTGAATTTAAGGTCTGTCTTTCTATCAAATGTCTGCGGGCATGAACTTACCACTTATCTGTCTGAAACTGTTAAGATGAAAGCTGATGCCTTTTGCGTTGATGTCTGTGTTAAACTAAAATTGTCTTCTCCTCGGTTTCTTTTCTTTCAATGGTTTTAGATTTAGTTATGATTCCTTGCTATATTGATGAAATGTTTTTTTTAGCAAGTGCCTCGGTTTTTTCATTGGCCGCGTGGCGGCCGTTGGTTTGCCACCAGGGACGACTTGGATTTTTTAAAAATGCGTCTTGTTGTTTGTAAAACATTTGAACAGTATGATTACAGGTGAGAAGAGAGAATTGCAAGCATCTCAATTGGCTAGTTTTATTATAAATTCCAAATAAGTAGAAGAATTTTTCTCCGCCTTTTGAATCATCCTTTCTGAGCTTTTGATTGGAAGAAATTCCTCACCAGTATCATGTAAATTTGTATGCTCTACCCGAATGTTTGAGGCAGAATGGTTAGAGTGATGTCCCAAAGGGGCTTCACGTCTAGGGTTCAAACCTCGCAATTGGGGAGGGAGGCTAATTATAGCCTTTGACAACGGCTGCTCCCGCATGTGGAGAGATATAGGTTGGACCAAAAGACAGCAGAATTTTTCGTAGATGTATGTTGGACCAAAGGACAGATGAACTCCCCGGTTACCAAAAAAAAAATTATATGCCAAGTAAAAATAATTTAATGCATGCATTTGAAGCCGGTAGATATAACAATATGGATCTTTGAGGAGAGATGACCATAACACTGGAAATATAATACTCATATATATTTACTATTTAATTAATATTTGCTAATATTAATATAAATTTTTAGAAGACAACCATAATTTAGAAAATTGACATATGAGTGTTGATTTGATTTTTTATTATTTATATATAAGGTTTTTACGATTTTGTATATATTTAATTTTTTTTTCGAATATTCAGATACAAAACTGGACTCGAAATCATACAAAAATTCATCGGACAGGATTTCAGGCCTAAAATTCTAGACCCGTTTATGTTTTGGATCCGGCCAGCCCTTCTCGTAATTCTTCGGACTTGGTTTGGCCCGATCCGGTCAATAAAAACAATAAATTTTGAAAAATGGAAATTTGACAAAAGAAGGCCGAAACATGAAAGCCCATGGGCCCAATCTCTCCACCGTACGAAACATTGTTCGCCAAACCGGAAGTTTTCGGTTCAACCGATTTAAGAAACCCTTTTGTCCCTCTACTCTCTCGAAGATTCCTTTCTCTCTCTCCCCCCCCCCCTCCCGACTGAAACTCTTCGGCCGCGACTATCGTCTCACGGCGGTGACATTCGGCGTCGCGACGGTGACTGTCGGCCTCGTGGAGCTCTGTCGTATCTCCGAATATCAGCTTCGTCTCTCCTTCAATCGAAGATCGAAATCGTAATTCTAAATGTAAGTTCTGAAACCCTAAACCCCCAATTTCTTAGAAAATCCCAATTCTTATGTTTTGTAGTGTAGAAAATTGACGAATTAAGTTGTTTGATGTAAGCTTCGTACTGAATTTCCCTTAACAGATATCCAGAAAGGTAGAAACCCTATCGTCGAAGAGTCCTCGCTGTCAAAAATGGCTTCCGGGAAGGATTCGGACCCAACCCTTGGGTATTTAACCCGCAGGGACACGGAAGTTAAGCTTCCGAGGCCGACTCGTGTGAAGAACAAGACGCCGGCGCCGGTGCAGATCACCGCCGAGCAGATTCTCCGGGAAGCTCGTGAGAGGCAAGAGGCTGAAATCCGGCCTCCAAAACAGAAGATAACAGACACGACGGAGCTGGCCGACTATCGCCTCCGCCGTAGAAAAGAGTTTGAGGACCAGATCCGACGCGCTCGGTGGAACATTGGAATCTGGGTGAAGTACGCCCAGTGGGAGGAGTCGCAGAAGGATTACGCGCGTGCACGGAGCGTGTGGGAACGCGCTCTGGAAGTCGATTACAGGAACCACACGTTATGGCTCAAGTACGCCGAGTTCGAGATGAAGAACAAGTTCGTCAACAGTGCTCGGAATGTATGGGACCGCGCCGTCACGCTCCTCCCACGCGTGGACCAGCTCTGGTACAAGTACATCCATATGGAGGAAATATTGGGGAATGTCGCCGGAGCTCGGCAAATCTTTGAGCGTTGGATGGATTGGGCGCCGGACCTACAAGGCTGGCACTCATATATCAAATTTGAACTCAGGTACAATGAGGTGGATCGAGCTCGATCGATATTTGAGAGATTTGTCAAATGTCATCCCAAGGTCAATGCGTACATTCGATATGCAAAGTTCGAGATGAAGAACGGCGAGGTGGCGCGTGCAAGGAATGTGTACGAACGCGCCACCGAGAAGCTCGCAGATGACGAAGAAGCTGAGCAGCTCTTCGTGGCATTTGCCGAGTTTGAGGAACGGTGCAAGGAAGTAGAACGGGCTAGGTTCATATATAAGTTTGCACTTGATCATATTCCCAAAGGAAGGGCTGAGGATTTGTATAGGAAGTTTGTGGCGTTTGAGAAACAGTACGGAGATAAGGAAGGGATCGAAGACGCGATTGTTGGGAAGAGGAGGTTTCAATATGAGGATGAGGTGAGGAAGAACCCTTTGAATTATGATTCATGGTTCGACTATATTAGATTAGAGGAGAGCGTGGCCAACAGAGATCGAGTCAGAGAAGTCTATGAAAGGGCCATTGCAAATGTTCCGCCTGCCCAGGAGAAACGTTACTGGCAGAGATACATTTACCTCTGGTGAGTTCTCCCTTTTGGTATTGTTTACAGATTTCGGCAATAACCCTAAACATGGTATTGATTTCTTCAAAAGTTCTGAGTTTATGGTGTTGATCAAGGCTTGCTTTAGTAGTTTGGCAGTGGTTGTCTTGGTCACATATAGTTCTGTGTTAAGGTTTTTAACTGTTGGGCCATTACGTCATTTAGAATTAATTCTGTTTCTTGTTAAACCCCCCTCTGTTTGTGGTTTCTTGTACATCTCGTGTTGGCATATGGTCTGTTTACAATTTGTCATGAAATGGTGTAGGATTAATTATGCGTTATGTGAGGAAATTGAAGCGGAAGATGTCGAGCGAACACGAGATGTTTACAGGTATGCCCGTGTGTTCAGAACAAGAAATTACGTACATTTCCATTATGTTTATGGTTTACCAAATAGCTTCTGTTGTTACAGATTATTTAGATTCTTTAAACCAACTCTTTTCTGAATTGGCTTACCCATGTCTTCAGAGAGTGTCTGAACCTTATACCGCATCAGAAATTTTCCTTTGCCAAAATATGGTTGCTTGCCGCTCAGTTTGAGATCCGGCAATTGAATCTCAAGGGTGCTCGGCAGATATTAGGCAATGCCATTGGAAAAGCCCCAAAAGATAAGGTATGCCCAGCATTTAAACTGGAGCCAGTTTGCTGCTATATTATGTTAAGCATACTTGGTTACTCTGATCTTTTTTTTTTCAATGAACAGATATTCAAAAAGTACATTGAGATCGAACTCCAGCTGGGAAACATAGATAGGTGCAGAAGATTGTACGAGCGGTATTTGGAGTGGTCCCCGGAGAATTGCTATGCATGGAGCAAATACGCTGAGTTAGAGAGATCTCTTGCTGAAACTGAGCGGGCTAGGGCTATTTTTGAGCTTGCAATATCACAGCCAGCTTTGGACATGCCTGAGCTGCTATGGAAGGTATTTGCCTTTTGGTCCACAACTCTTGAATTTCTTATATTTGTAATGATTTGATCAGGCTTATTGGACATGGACATCGCCTCTTGTTCTTTGTATTCTGTTTTTAAGTGTCTCAGTAGTTAGCAATGCATTGGCTTTAGAAATTGTAGACTATTGTAGGTGCCTCATTAATGGATTTTTCCTTTGACCAGTTTGCTTTAATCTGCTTTGTTTGCTTAACATATTGTGTGCTGGAAATTTTAGATTCTGATGCATATAGAGGTTTCCGCTTCTGGCTTTATCACGTTCTAGTAGATTTTGCTCTACTCCACTTTTTGCGATTTGTGCGTGTATCTACGTGCTTCTTCCACGTCCTCGTGTTTGCAGTACAAATGTTATTCATTAAACACCAGAATTTAGAAGTTGAATATGGACATTTCCCCTCCTTATCCGTCACTTCATTTCTTCAGTAGCTTGAACCTAGGAATGGCTATTGCTGTCTTATGAGTTTCTGTGCTCACACGTATATGATTCTCCGTATTTGTTGTGGATGTGTCTTTCTTTCTTGTCTTGTTGAGACCTTGTGATTTGTTAATTGTCTGGCATGAAAATGTGTTGTTATTTTTCCTGGTGGACAGAGTAAGTGTTAATGCGATTTTTCAAACAGAATGATCAAGAATTCTAATGGGTTGTGTTGTGACAGGCATATATCGATTTTGAGATATCAGAAGGTGAAACCGGGAGGACAAGAGCTCTATACGAGAGACTCCTCGACCGTACCAAGCATTACAAGGTATGGGTCAGCTATGCGAAGTTTGAAGCCTCTTCTTTTGATCAAGACACGATGGTATCTGACCAAGAACAACTCCAACATAAATCGGATTGCATCCAACGTGCTAGAGGTAACTTAAGCTAACCCACCCGAAATCTTTACATTAACTAGTGTCTTGTCTGGAAGATTCATGTTATGTTTTCATCTGTCAAAGAAAAAATGGGTTGGGTGTTATTCTGATGTTATCTATGTATAATATTTGGTCTTACGACGATATTTGGCTCAGGGGTTTTCGAGAGGGCGAACATGTATTTCAAGGACTCGGCGCCTGAACTGAAGGAAGAAAGAGCAACACTGTTGGAGGACTGGTTGAACATGGAGTCCAGCTTCGGTGAGATGGGTGACGTGAGCGTGGTTCAACCCAAGCTTCCCAAGAAGCTCAAGAAGAGGAAGCCCATTACCAGAGAAGACGGTTCCACTGAGTATGTCTTCTTCTTTGAATCTTTTGAACATTCGTTTTTTTTAAAAAAAAGCTCTTTGGTTAATCTCTTGTGGATGAATATTATGAATATGCAGGTACGAGGAATACATCGACTACTTGTTCCCCGAAGAATCTCAGACGACGAATCTCAAGATTCTGGAGGCTGCTTATAGATGGAAGAAACAGAAGGTTTCCGAGGATGATTTTTAGACTTTTTGGTTTCCAATTGCAACTGTCTATTTTATCTTGTAATTTTTTATCATTTGGTACGTGTTTTCACTAATTGTGTGTTTTTAGCAAATATTTTTGTCGCTCTCTCAAGGAGGAGTCGTTATTACGAAAATACCATTTTGGCTATTGTGAAATATGTGATGCAAGGGGTGGGTGGCGGGTATGATATCCGATCTTTAATGCAAATTTGGTTAGAGTAGTTTTTGAGTTCGGGAAGTTGGTTTATATTAGTGGAATCTGTGGATATCGTGTATGCATTTAAAAAGGCATATATACACCTTTTATGAATATTTTGAAATTTTATATACTATAAATATATAGTGTTTAAAACCGGTTGAAGTTGTATTGAATCTATTGATGTTGGGTTTATATTTTGGAATTGTCTATAGACTACATTTGGATGTATTTTAAATTTTTGTTGAAAAAATCTAACTTGTTTTTATGCAAGTATATTTTGCATACGGATGCTCATCCCATCGGTCCGAATCCGGGTATACAATACCGAACATTTTGATTACAAGTTTGTATACCCTAAATTTTCTTGATATTCGGACGGCGATGGCTGGGAGCGTGGATAGATTATTGGCCCCGTCTTTCGCAACATATCGCGGTTTCTTTTCGCATTTTTGATACTTCCCCGAGATTTTAGGAGAACGAGAAAACGAATATTTCGTCGTGGTGGTTTTTGCTTGTAAATATATTTCAAATCGAAGGGTATTTACAGTAAATGTAGCGCCAAATTTTGCATTCCCCCCCCTGCTTAGGACAAAAAGAAACCATAAAAGAGAAAAAACTTGCTCCTCCATTTTCTTTTCCCTTCTCATTCCCACCTCTCGTTTTTTTGTCTAATCAAATCATGTTCCTTTCGGCTAAAATTAATTTTTCCAATTCAGAATTCAGGTAGATCTTGTTGCTTTCAATCGGCCCTTCGGAGAAGGAATATTCGCGATCCAGATTCTGCCGGTAATTTTGAAAATTTTCTCTCCGAGATTGATCGTGCGACTTTAGGTCTCATTTTCTTTTTACTCCTGTTTGGCTGCCGAGAAAATGCGGTGAAAGATTTGGTTGAAATTTCTCTAGAGGTATAAATTGGTAGAACGTGGAAACCAGTTGTTATTGAGAACGAAATCGACGGATCGAGAAAATCATTCCCATCCCTGGTGGAATCATATGCGTATGAAAACGATGGGCTCTTTACTTTGGTCCTCTTGTTTCTTCCGTTATATCAAAATCATTTGATCAAATCTCTTCATTCGATACCCATTCTTTTTACCGTTTCATGCGGGACCCTATCTTACGTTAGTATATATATACTCGTCATGCAAAGTTGCCATGATGCGTTTCGATGAATTTTTATTTCGGTCTTTTTGAATCTCTCATCGTCAAGGTTTGTGGGGAAAAAGGTATTGGTAAAAAAGCTCGATTTCAATTTGGTTGTTTAAGGTTTCTTTATTAAGAATTTGCATGATTTATCATACCAAGCCTTTACGATATGAGGTTGAACATCATAGACGGAAGAGCATGGTTTCATGCAAATGCATTTTCTAGGCAATTGCAGGACCTTCATCTCAATACACATCCTAAAACAGTGACTCTTCCTTCTGTTATGATAAAGAATCATAAAACTTGTTTTCCTTCCAGGGGAAAGTCAGACAGCTCGCACCATGACGGGATCGTTACCCTTTACGGGTGTGTTCGAGATTACATTGTGAGTGAGCAGGAAGTTCAGAAGGATTTGTTTTGCAAATGGAGAAGGCGAAAGCAGGTACAGAGATTGTTCAAGTAATAGAATGGGAACCACTCAAGAAGAGAGTTTTGAAACTTTTGTTTTTGTTTTATGTAAAATTTTGTAGTTTTATTGTCATACCTGCAGAAGTAGAAAAGAAGGTGTCAAAAGCTCTCAAGTTTATCCAGACCAAGAACAAGATCCCAAAGGAAGCCAAGAAAGAGCTTCTCGGCCTCATCACCGATCTTCACGAGCAGTGCCAATCTCTCTATTCCATATTTGATGACTTACAAGAAGGGTATTCAGGAAATCGTGGAAAAATACATACTGCTGCTTCATCTTCCAGTTCGGATTGGGAATATTACTCTTCAGAGGAAACTGAGAGTAACCTCCCTGGTAATGTGAATGAAGCTGTTGCTGGGAATTTGAGCTCTAAGGAAAAGACTGAAAGTGCAGAGTCAAAACTGAGGTTTGAAGCATTGAACTCGGAACATGCAGCAGTGGTTAGGAAGCTGAAGGAGGCAGAGTTAACTTACGAGAATCTAAGGAGGAAGACTGGAGAGAGAGAACAGGAACTAACTGAACGTGTGAAAGAGCTTGAACGACAGCTCGGTGATGCAGATTCTGAGCTGAGAGCTCAGAAAGATCGGAACAGAGAGTTAGAAGAACAGATTGTGATGAGAGCGGGTGAGGCTAAGCATTTGGGAGAGAAAAACAAAGGGCTGCAAGGTCGGATCCTGGGTTTGGAACTGGTCTTGAAGGAGAAAGGACATGAGATATCAAATCTTGTGAACAAGTTTGGGATAAGTGAGGTCAGACTAACATCAAGAATCGAAGATTTGAAGAGTCAGGTGAGTAATCTGCAACAGGAGACAGATTTTTTGCGTACCCAGAACGTGGAATTGGCAGGAGACGTCGAAGATAAGAAAAACAAGGAGATAAAACATTGTAAGGACTTGATGGATCACGTAAATATTTCACAACATGAACTTGAGTCATTACGCAATCAGAGAAAAGAATTAGAATCAGAGCTGGTGAAGAGAACCGAAGAAGTTGCACGGACTCAGATGAGACTGAAGCATCTGGAGGAAGCAGCAGAGGAACGGGTTAAGGCTGACCTGAAGATTCTAGAAGAAAAGAAAATTTTGTTGACAAAAGTGGAGAAACTCGAACTCGAAACCAATAGTTTGCAGAAGGAGAAATACGAGTTTAGCGATCAGATGAAGAGTAAGATTACTGAGCTTGATCGACTTAGGGAGGAGAATCAGAAGCTTCATACAAAAATGGCAGAGTTGGATTCATCACAGATGGAGAAACAGAAGAAGAACATTGAAGAAATAGAAGTTCAGAGTATGAAACTGGATAAGAAACTTTCTGATCCGCAGAAACCCGTGAAGGAACAAGATGATATAATTAGAAGGTAAAAGAAAATTTTGATTTTTCCACGGCAAAAAAGAACCTCAATAGATTAAATACAGGTCAAGATTATTCAGTGAAATGCAACTTTAGAGTAATATTATAGAAAATGGACTATACCTGACTATGAAGAATTTTAAAATACACTTCCACAATCTTTGCATAATCTTGACAATTTCTTTATTTGCTTCACCACAGGCTATCTGCGAAGATCAAAGATCAGCAGAAACTTCTCAAAGAACAAAAGGACACCATTGATAAGCTCTCGGAGCAGGATCAAAAGCTAGTAAAACGAGGGTCCTTTGGTTCAATTCGGGACCCAAAATTGAACCCCATTGTTCTCGAGAGGAAAATGGAAGAATTAGCAGACGATTTCAGGATGAAAATGGAAGATCATATCCGAATACTGTACAGGAGGATTCACGTGGCTGAACAGATACACTTAGAAAGCAAGCACGAGTTTATCAAGACCCGAGAAAACATGGGAAATGGAGAAAGCAAAGGAAACCTCGCTTTCTGTGAAACCCAGTTCAAGAAAATCAAGGAAATGTTCGAACATGGACTCACTCGATCTGATGTGGCAATCAAGAAAGTAGAAGAAGCCGGAGAATACACGGCCCGAGTCACAAGAATTGCCAAAGAGATGGATGCAGCGAGAACTTGGGTAAGGGAGAAGAACAGTGAGACAGAACAGATGAAGCACGAGGTCGAAACTCTAGCTGCGAAGCTAGAATGCAGAGAAGCTCAAGAATCATTGTTGAAAGAGAAACTATCAAAACTAGAGACAAAACTTGCGGAGGAAGGGACAGAGAAACTGGGTTTAGCAAAGGTTCTGAGCAAATTCGACACGAGAATCAAAGAGCTTGAGATCGAAGTGAAGAGGAAAGAGGTTGAATTGGTGAGCTTAGGAGAAGAGAAGAGAGATGCGATAAGACAGCTATGTGTTCTGGTGGATTATCAACGTTGTCGGTACGATGATCTCAAGAGATCAATCTTGAAGTTTGCTCTTAAACCCTAAAGGTATACATATATCCCTTTTCTTGTTACGTGTGTACCAAGTTATCTGGTCCTCCTCCTAACATATAAAGTCTTGTTTTGATGTCTTCTTTTCTTTTTAGTTCTTTAAACCCATCTTGCAAAAAAAAAAAAAAAAGGTGTAAAAATTGAAGCGAGATCTGGGGTTAAGTTAATTTGATGACATGTGCAGTGCATTGTATGTTGTTGTAAAGTGTAACCCTTTTTAATTTTGTTTATATTTGGAATTTCGTGTATATTTATGTTTTGAATTTGAAGTACTTTTGAAAATACAATTTTAAGACAAGTTGGTGAGAGTAGTTGCAGCACTTCAAATCAAATCTCTATCACGTTCTTATGCTTTTGTCTTCGTCCGTTTAATGTTACAACCTAAGGTCGTGCACGCTTATCTTTGTGTGGATGGGTATTTTTCCAGTTTCTTTTGTAGGGGCATCCATTTTTTTTATAAAGAAACATCATAATTTTTTTCATAAGATTTTTTTTTGTATTTTTTTTTATAACTGGGTATTCTATATTGAGTTATATACTATAATACTAATCTCTAATGTCGAAATTGAGAATAAACTATATGATTGAAATTAAACTCCGTCTCCAATTTGATACTCGAACTCCTTAATCTTTCCAAATTGGATTTTAACTCGGTTGAAAACGAATAATAAATAAATTAAAAAAGCATTGATATGACAGAAAATGGATTTAAAAGTCAAATATAATAGATTTCTTAATACCATTTTCTTTATATTTTCTCTCTTTGGTTTGTTGACTTTGTTAGTGTGATAAGTTATATATAATTAAAGGCAGTACTCACTGTGTAATTAAAATTTATTCTATTTTCGGTTATTTATATAATAAATATATTCAGAAAATGATGTTATTTATAGTTTTCCATTGAGTTATAATGATACCCATCGCAACGACGAAACTAATGGTTCTTTTTTGGCACGAAATTAATGGTTAAATGCGCTCATTCAAGGCAACAATAAAAACAATGTGTTTGTATATATGTGAATATTAGGAATAACTATACTTAATGGTTCACGAAATTAATGGTTGAATGCGTTCATATAAGGCAACAATAAAAACAATATGTTAAATTTTAACAAATTGTACACCATTATTTTATCAAAATTACTTAAATATCCCTGTTTTGAAAAAGTCAAAAATACCCTCAAAAATGAAATTAAACACACGTGGACTTTTTATTTGAAAAAGTACTTTTGCCCCGAAACTCTCGTCCGTCATCTCTCCCCTTCGCTTCCTGTTATATCGTTCCCTTTAGGGCACCTCCTTTGTTACAGATTTTTGAGCTTTTGGAGCGATTTTTGCGTCATTTTTTTGGGGCGATTGATGGAAAAATCTGCTTATAAGGTACAATAGCTATAAATCCTAATCAATTTCGTCTATTATCATTCCATTTTTAAAATTATATGCTTTGATATGGGTGTAGGGTATGAAATCCGAAAACTGATTTTGGGTTTAGGAAATGATGAATGTTGTTGGTTTTTACAGAAAAATGGATGGTATTGAAGATTTGTATACATGTGTGTGTGTAAGGTATGATGGTATTTGGGAAAGAAATGAAGATGGATTGTATGAATGGAAAGGAGATGAAGATAAAACCAAGACAATATGCATTTGTAACAAAGCAAGTGAAGTGACACGGACAGAGAAACTGGGTTTAGCAAAGGTTCTGAGCAAATTCGACACGAGAATCAAAGAGCTTGAGATCGAAGTGAAGAGGAAAGAGGTTGAATTGGTGAGCTTAGGAGAAGAGAAGAGAGATGCGATAAGACAGCTATGTGTTCTGGTGGATTATCAACGTTGTCGGTACGATGATCTCAAGAGATCAATCTTGAAGTTTGCTCTTAAACCCTAAAGGTATACATATATCCCTTTTCTTGTTACGTGTGTACCAAGTTATCTGGTCCTCCTCCTAACATATAAAGTCTTGTTTTGATGTCTTCTTTTCTTTTTAGTTCTTTAAACCCATCTTGCAAAAAAAAAAAAAAAAGGTGTAAAAATTGAAGCGAGATCTGGGGTTAAGTTAATTTGATGACATGTGCAGTGCATTGTATGTTGTTGTAAAGTGTAACCCTTTTTAATTTTGTTTATATTTGGAATTTCGTGTATATTTATGTTTTGAATTTGAAGTACTTTTGAAAATACAATTTTAAGACAAGTTGGTGAGAGTAGTTGCAGCACTTCAAATCAAATCTCTATCACGTTCTTATGCTTTTGTCTTCGTCCGTTTAATGTTACAACCTAAGGTCGTGCACGCTTATCTTTGTGTGGATGTGCTTTCTCAATGTGATTTTACCAGTTTCTTTTGTAGGGGCATCCATTTTTTTTATAAAAAAACATCATAATTTTTTTCATAAGATTTTTTTTTGTATTTTTTTTTATAACTGGGTATTCTATATTGAGTTATATACTATAATACTAATCTCTAATGTCGAAATTGAGAATAAACTATATGATTGAAATTAAACTCCGTCTCCAATTTGATACTCGAACTCCTTAATCTTTCCAAATTGGATTTTAACTCGGTTGAAAACGAATAATAAATAAATTAAAAAAGCATTGATATGACAGAAAATGGATTTAAAAGTCAAATATAATAGATTTCTTAATACCATTTTCTTTATATTTTCTCTCTTTGGTTTGTTGACTTTGTTAGTGTGATAAGTTATATATAATTAAAGGCAGTACTCACTGTGTAATTAAAATTTATTCTATTTTCGGTTATTTATATAATAAATATATTCAGAAAATGATGTTATTTATAGTTTTCCATTGAGTTATAATGATACCCATCGCAACGACGAAACTAATGGTTCTTTTTTGGCACGAAATTAATGGTTAAATGCGCTCATTCAAGGCAACAATAAAAACAATGTGTTTGTATATATGTGAATATTAGGAATAACTATACTTAATGGTTCACGAAATTAATGGTTGAATGCGTTCATATAAGGCAACAATAAAAACAATATGTTTGTATATATGTGAATCTTAGGAAGAGTTCTATTTTAGCTATTTTTTTTCATTTCCTGATTCTTTTTTGTAATTTTAAAATTCGGATATATATATATATATATATATCAAACGAGAGGGGCGGGAAAAGCGTCCTCGTGGCTTGTGAGGGGCACTGAATCATGACCCATTGATTTCCACATGACACGATATTTTCGCGAACATTTAAACCAAAATATCACGATATAAACCGGTGGCGTCGGATACTTTGACCGCCTCGACGAGAATTTGAAGATCGCCAACTCCGCATAGCGTCAGTGGCAGAAACGTAATTATCTGGAAATAAGAGGTTTATTTGTGGAAGACGATGCCCCAAAGATTCCCCGTCTCTCCTGAAAATTGAAAATTGTTGCGAGAGAAAAATTTTGAGTCACAGTTGCTCTCGCATGAGTCCAAACCAACATCACTTTTTTCTTCTTCTCTATCTTTCTCCCATTTGAATTCGTCTCTCTCCTATTCAATCGAAGATTTCGGTCTCTTATCATCTGTCCAAGAGAGATTCGATCTTCGTTTCTTCTGTTTTTTGCTGCCGTTTCGAGTTTCTGGGGCTTCGATTTTCAGGTAACTTCTCCGATCGTGAGCTAATTCGGCATCGGTTCCTGGCTTTGATTTCTCCGCTTGATTTCTTATTCGATTTGAAGTTCTTGTGGCTTGATGGTTCGATCGATGTAGCTCGTGCGTTGTTCCTTGTTTGATTTCTCACTCATCAAGTCATTGTATAGAGGAAGTCTTTGGGGTTTATGTTTGATGTTCTACTTCGGTTTGAAGTTATGCGTACTTGATTCTCTTACCGATCCTGTTCTCCTTCTATTTCTTCCGAAATTCTCATGTATTATGAGGTGTTATCCATCTAAACCTGCTATTAATCATTTCGATTTTGGTCCTTCGTTAATCGGGTTCTCCGATGTATTTGGCTTCCTGTTGGTTCTGTATAGCACCGCTTATAGGCTAAGTCTAGGGCGATAAGCTTTATCTTCGGTTTTCATTTCGTGTTTGATGATCATCTTTGAGGTTTTGGCGACTGAGTTTTTGTTAATTTGGTGTAGTCGTAGGAGAGATCTTCTGAGTTATTTTGTTGCTCGTTTTCCTTGGGATTTCGTCTTCTTTTTTGGCGTTCTCTGTCACGAATTGAGACGTGATTGTTGATTCGGGTTCGATGGATTTGATATCCGTTGTTAATTTCTTGCATCGGGAGATTTTGGTTTTCTTTTCTACTGGATTCCCACCTGTTGCTCTGTTCGACCATTCGCCATTCCTTTTCTTCAAGATGATCTGATTTCCCAGTTGTGTTCTGTGATTGAATCTCGTCTTGTTTGTTTGTGTTTTATTTTCTTGTTTGGTTCGACCATCAGCGACCATCATCCCTATTCTCCAACAACTGGAAAATCCACTCTGCAATTAGTAGTTTGAGATCCGAATTGCACATTTCATTGCATTAGGATTTTCCTGATATGCTAATCAATCAGATTTGGAATCGAGTGTGATTTGCATCAATCTATAGTTAACGCAAAGATAAGAACAAAAAGAAACAACTCACCTTTCTGAGGCATGATAGCTGTCTTTTATCGTTCCAAAGGTTATGTGCTTTCTTGTTCATTTCCAAAGTTGCTGAGGTGGCTCCACGTGAGATTTGTTCTACATTCAGTATCATGCCGTTTTTCGTAATTAACGGTTAATCCGCTCTGTCAATTGCATTTATTTTGTGATCCTTTGTAACTATGTAATAGGTAAAAAAATAAATTAGTTAGTAGAAAATATTTAATCTAATCTATCGTGTCAGACTTACCTGCGTGGATTCGTTTCTTCTTTTACCGGCCAATGTATTTATGTCCTAACTGGGACCCACCATGTCATAGAATAATACTCGAGGTTATTTTAATTTTAATTCCATGAGTTGTTTACCTTGTCAGCCTTCAAGTGTAGGATTTGTTTCTTTTGTTATATTATATTCACTAGTTCCGCGTCTGTTCTATCCTTGAACATGCCTTTTTGTATTTTTTTTTATATGTATATGAATGTGTCACGATGGTCCATGGCTCCTTTTCTTCTACTAAAATATTTGACGTTAAATTTCAACAAAGTAGTTTTGCTCTAGCGGTTGTTGCTTATATCCATTCTCGCTTTCTTGTGAATTGTGCAAAATACAGATTTGTACTTCAAGGAGATGCCGGAGATGATTTTTCGATTTCATGATCTTGAATTGTGACTGCTTCCATCCATACCATTTGCTCGGAGAAGCTTTTGAAAACCCGAAGAAGACATGAGAAAGCATCGTTTTAGAGAGAACTTGAAGTCTTTCTTTGGGCATCATGTCGATCCTGATAACGGTGAAATGCTCAAAGGGGCGAAAACTGGTAATTGTTGGATTCTATAGATTTTATGCTCTTGGTTCACTTGAGTATTTTGATTGGTGTTTAATATACAAAAGTACTACGCTCAACATTGCAGAAATAGATGAAAAGGTGAAAACGATTTTGACACTGGTTGAGAATGGAGACCTGGAGGAAAATGGCTCTAAAAGAGAAGCAGTTGCAGAGTTAGTGAAGGAATTCTACAATGACTACGAGTCGCTCTATAACCAATATGATAATCTAACTGGGGAGATTAGGAAAAAAGTTCACGGAAAACGGGAGAATGACAGCTCTTCTTCTTCTAGCTCTGACTCAGATTCTGATGATTCTTCAAAGAGGAAGAGCAAGAGAAATGGGCAGGTTGGAAATGACTTAGGGACAGATAGCTTGAAGCAAGAAATTGAAGCTGCAAATCTTGAAATTGCTGATCTGAAAAGGAAGTTGACCTCAGCAGTTGAAGAAAAAGAAGTTATAGATTCGGAGTACCGAATAGCTTTGAGTAAGTTGAAAGAATCAGAAGAAATCACAGGAAATTTGAAGCTTGAAACTGTGAAGCTAGATGCTGAAAAAACAATGCTTTTGAGCGAGAACAGAGAACTACATCAGAAACTGGAGTTTGCAGGCAAGACAGAAGCCGATCTAAACCGAAAACTGGAAGATGTGAAAAGAGAGAGAAATGAATTGGAAATGGAGAGAGACACCGGAATCAAAAGAATTCAGGAAGCTGGGAAAGTTGCAGAAGATTGGAAGACCATGACTGATCAGCTCAAAGAGGAAGCTGCTAATTTGAGGCAGCAACTAGAATCTTCGGAACAGCGAGTTTCGGATCTGACCCACAATCTGAATAGCACAAAGGAAGAAAACAAATCTCTGTCCTTGAAAGTTTCAGAAATTTCTGGTGAGATCCAGCAGGCACAGATCACCACACAAGGACTCATGGCTGAATTGGGAGAACTACATCAGAAACTGGAGTTTGCAGGCAAGACAGAAGCCGATCTAAACCGAAAACTGGAAGATGTGAAAAGAGAGAGAAATGAATTGGAAATAGAGAGAGACACCGGAATCAAAAGAATTCAGGAAGCTGGGAAAGTTGCAGAAGATTGGAAGACCATGACTGATCAGCTCAAAGAGGAAGCTGCTAATTTGAGGCAGCAACTAGAATCTTCAGGACAGCGAGTCTCGGATCTGACCCACAATCTGAATAGCACAAAGGAAGAAAACAAATCTCTGTCCTTGAAAGTTTCAGAAATTTCTGGTGAGATCCAGCAGGCACAGATCACCACACAAGGACTCATGGCTGAATTGGGAGAGTTGGAAGACAAACACAGGGAAAAAGAAAACAAGCTATCAAGTTTGATGGAGACACACGAGGTACATCAGAGAGATTCATCGGCTCGGATGAAAGAATTAGAAGCACAAGTCGGATCTTCCGAGCAACGGGTTATAGATTTGAGTCAGAGCCTGAACTGCACAGAAGAAGAGAAAAAATCACTGTCTCTGAAACTTGAGGAAATCTCAAACGATATCGAACAGGCACAGAACACAATACAAGAACTCATGGCTGAGTCAGGACAGTTGAAAGAGAGCCACAGCGTGAAAGAGATGGAACTTTCGGGTTTGAGGGAGATCCACGAGGCCCATCAGAGAGAATCATCAGACCGGGTTAAAGAGTTAGAAGCACAGTTGGAAACGTCAGAACATCGGGCTTTGGATTTGAGACAGAGTCTGAAAACCGTAGAGGAAGAAAACAAGTCCCTATCCTCGAAAATCTCAGAAACTTCAGATGAGCTCCAGCAGACACAGAACACTATACAAAAACTCGAGACAGAATCAAGAGAATTGAGAGAGAAACTCGATGAAAAAGAGAACGAAGTTTTGCATTTGGAAGAGAAAGAAGGTGAATTGTTGGGACAACTAAAAGAACTAGAAGCACAGGTGACAAGCCTGGAGATGGAGCTGGAGTCAATCCGCACCCATAACAGAGATCTGGAGACACAGGTTGGAAGCAAGGCCTCTGAAGCAGAGTTACTGGACAAGCAGAATCAAGGGTTGCTTTCCCAAATCTCAGAACTTGAACTTGCAATTAACGAGAGAGGAAATGAACTCTCTGCTCTTACCGATAAACTCGAGGACAGCAAGAACAAATCATCATCAAAGATCGAGGGTTTGACAGCTGAGATCAATGGCTTACGGGCAGAACTGAATTCACGATCGGCTCAGAAGGAAGAATTGGAAAAACAAATGGTGAGCAGTGGCGATGAAGCATCGGTGCGGATTGAAGGCTTAATGGACGAGATTAATGGTCTGCAACAGCAAGTAGAGTCCCTTCACAGCCAGAAAGCAGCACTCGGGAGCGAACTTGAGAAAAAGTCCGAGGAAATATCTGAATATTTGACTCAGATTACAAATCTGAAAGAGGAGATCGCTAATAAAACCGCAGATCATGAAAAGATTCTGGAAGAAAGGAACAGCTTATCCGAGAGGGTCAAGGGTTTAGAAGTTGATCTGGAAAGTCTACAGAGACAGAGAAGCGAACACGAAGAAAGCCTAAGAAATAAAACTGATGAGAACAATCAGATCAGAGAAAAGCTTAACGAACTCGAGAAGTTACTTGCAGAGAGAGAAGTTGAACTGTCTGATCATCGGGAAATTCATTTAAGGGGCGAGAATGAAGCATCTGCTCGGACAACGGCCTTAACAGAACAAATCAATGATCTGAGACGGGAACTGGATTCTCTACAGGCACAGAAGAACGAAACTGAAGCAGAGCTCGAGAGAGAGAAACAGGAGAAATCCGCATTGCTAAATCAGCTCAACATCCATCAGAGTTCTTCGTTGGAACATGAAGCAGCTTACAATAAACTGAGCGGGGAATACAAACAAAACGAAAGTCTGTTAAAAGAACAGGAGGCAACAATCAACAAGCTGAACGAGGAATACAAACAAGCTCAAGAAACGCTAGAGGAGTACAAGACGAAGATCAAAGATTTGGAAAGAAAAATAGAAGAGAAGGGTAATGAAATTTCGATCAAAGATTACGCGATCGCCGATCTTGAGGAGACAATGGACGGCCTGAGGAACGAGATAGAGGTGAAAGCGGATGAGATCGAGACTCTGATGGAGAAGATCAGTAACATAGAGGTTAAACTCCGCCTCTCGAACCAGAAACTGAGAGTGACAGAACAGGTGCTGTCAGAGAAAGAGGAGGCTTTCAGAAAGGCCGAAGCAAAGCACGCGGAAGAGCTGAGAATGATGGAAGAGAAAATCGAGGCAGCACACGAAGCGTACAGAGGAATGATAAGAGAAATCTCGGAGAAAGCGAATGCGGGGATGGAAGGGATTCAGTCCGTGGTGGAAAGACTCGTTGAAGAGTATGGAGAGTACGAGAAAACGGTGGTGGAAGCGTCGAGGACAATGTGGAAGGCAACGAATTGGATGACGGAAGCGAAGGGAGAGAAGGAGAGGGGGGAGGAAGAAGGGAGGGAGATGAGGGAGAGGGTGAAGGGGTTGCAAGAGAGAGTGAGGGAGGGGGAGAAGGAGAAGGAGAGGATGAAGGAGAGGATGAAGGGACAAGAGGTGGAGATGTCGGGTTTAGGGGAGGAGAAGAGGGAGGCCATTAGGCAGCTCTGTCTCTGGATTGACTACCACAGGAACAGGTTTGATTCTCTGAGGGAGACCGTTGTGGCCAGGAGACAGATTCCACATCGTTGATTTCTTCTGCTTCTCCCTCCTCGTCAGTTGTTGTATGTTTCCTTCCATCAATCTCTTTATACACATATATATGATGTTCCTTTTTGTTCTTGTGTATTGTCCGGTGGGGTCGTCGTTTGAGTTGCTAGGTCACTGTCTTTCATATTTTTTATATTCAAAATTGTTTTTGTTTCTCTATTATTTTAAAAGAATATTTTGGGTTTGGGTTTGGGTATTATTCCGTGTATGTTGTTTTTTCCTCAAGGGAGATGAGATGAATTTCCTGTTTGTTTTTTTTAAAAAAAAAAAATTGTTTGTAAAGAACGTCTGTTGCCAGTGTAGAATATCGATGTTATTGTTTTTTTATTAAGAAAAGGAATGGCCATGTGTCCGATAGGATGATGATTCTTCTGGTGTGTTTTTTTTTTTTTTAACTTGAAAATGGTAAGACAGCCTAAGATTTGTATAAAGAAACAACGAATCTGGCTTGCGACAGAGGAGAAGTCCCTAAACCCAACATCTGGTTGTACTAAAACCGAAGGGACTCGTTACAAGATTTGTATATTCGGAAGAGGTAAAGAAAGGTAACAACTATTATTTTCCTTTTCCTTCACCTCTCATATTATAGGAAAATTCTCTTTCCTTTTTGCTGTACAACAAGCCAAATTTAATTCTGAGGCAAATGTGTATGTATGGTATATATATAGACACATATATATGAATAACATTTTCCGGACGGAGTCTGTGTAATTGGATAGACCTATGGGCCGAAACCTCTTCATGAATGTAAAAGCTTTTTATCATGTTCCCACCAAGTGAAGATACTGACCAATAATTAAGCAAAACAAACAAAAAATTAAACAAAGAAATGATGAGCACTGCAAATTTCAAAAGACCCAAATCAAAAGGGAAGATAGCTATCATGAGCAGAAAATATACTGCCAACTTCTAACGTGCGCCTCCTCGGTGCTCTTTTTCCCATACACCCTTAAAGGCCTTAACCTTCGCCTAATAATCCTCCATTCGACCCGAAATCAATGGCGGAGCCTCCCCGACCCGAACCGTTCCCCGATACCCGTCTCGATTCCGACGCCGGAGCCGCCTTCGTCCTCGAGTCCAAAGGTACACAAACCCCTTTTTTTCCGTTTGAAATATGAACTCGATTTCAAATATTCTCGGCTGAAGCCTCGATCGACACGTATCATCTCCGTCCACAGCAGCGTCAATTTTTTTTATTGAGATTTGGAGTCGGATTTGTCTGATTGATTGTGTTGTTTTCGCCGGAGAAATCGAAATTCAGGGGAGTGGTGGCACGCGGGATTCCATCTGACGACGGCGATCGTGGGACCGACGATATTGACATTGCCGTACGCGTTCAAGGGATTGGGATGGTGGTTAGGGTTCGTCTGCCTGACGACGATGGGGATCGTCACTTTCTACGCTTATTACCTCATGTCGAAGGTTCTCGATCACTGCGAGAAGTCCGGCCGCCGTCACATCCGATTCCGGGAACTCGCCGCCGATGTTTTGGGTGAGAATCTCCAACAAAACAAGCACATGAACGAATTCTGAATTCTCCGAAATTCGAGGCTGATTTTATCTGAAACGTGGAAACATTATTTTCTGGGTTGTTGGAGTTTTTTTTTCATCTTTTTTTTTTAGTGAAGCGAGAAGCTTGGATCGAGTTTCAATGTTGAAGCTTTGACTTTTTTATTGTTTTATGGTACGTTAGGGACACGTGGCGATTGTGGGTTAATGTCATAGTCAGATGGGTAGGTGTGAGCTCGTTACGGCTCGGTTCTGGTGGGCCTTAACCCGGTTTGAACCGATGCTTACCGAATTCGGATCCGGTTTAGATTTTCTTCCGTGTTGGAACTCCAATCTTGGTTTAGATGGAGCGGATATTAATGCAAAATCTGGATCTCTGATTCAATTCAGATTTTACATATTCTCTCCAACTGATTTGGTTTGGGTGGGGGTCAGTTAATTCAGTTAACATGACGCATATCATCGGGTTGGTTTCGGTTTAGACTAAAATTATTCGGTTTGGTTCCGTATTACTCTGCTTGATCCCATTTCTAACCGGTTCTCATACGTCAGCTTAGCTTCTTTTTTTTTTTCTATTTTCTTTCCACAAAGTCAGCTTAGATTTTATGGATTATTTTATTAGTGTCCCTCTTCCTTTTTTGGCGGGTAATATATATATATATATATCTCGTAATATAATACATGTTAATTATGTTTTATATTGCATTTTTTTTAAATGTTGTAATGTTTAGTGAAGAATAATAAATTGGGTGGTGCAGGATCTGGATGGATGTTTTATGTAGTAATCTTCATTCAAACAGCTATCAACACCGGGATTGGGATTGGGGCGATTTTGCTCGCAGGACAATGCCTTGAGGTGACATATACCATCATCATCGTCATCATCATTAATCTGCACATATACATACATATATATAAACAAAATTATGTATGTAAAATGTTTTGTGGTGTGTGGACAATGCAGATAATGTATTCGAATCTATTTCCAAAAGGAGCGTTGAAGCTGTATGAGTTCATAGCAATGGTGACGGTAGTGATGATGCTCCTCTCACAGTTCCCCACTTTTCACTCCCTCAGACACATCAACTTCGTCTCTCTCCTTCTCAGCTTAGGCTACTCCTTCCTCGTCGTCGGCTCTTGTATCCACGTCGGTACGCTTATACATGATATGCTATCCAATATTCTTGAATGTGCATTTGATAGAGCTTGATGAATTTCTTTGTAGCGTGTTGTTTGGGTTCTTGGAACTTTCTAAAGGAGATTCTTGTCTGTTTGGTTCTGAAGGTTTGTCTAAAAATGCTCCCAAGAGGGACTATTCCCTTGAACCTTCTGATTCGGCCAGGGTTTTCAGCGCATTCACCTCCATTTCGATTATAGCTGCCATTTTCGGTAACGGAATTCTACCCGAGATCCAGGTATATCATTTGGTACTATATATATCGGATTGCATTTATAGCCAAAACTTGACTTCAAGAGTGATCGGCTGTCTATCGAACGGATCCACCATTGGTAAAATGCAGGCAACTCTGGCTCCACCAGCAACAGGGAAGATGGTGAAAGGCCTCTTCTTGTGTTACACTGTCATATTCTTCACCTTCTACTCGGCTGCCGTTTCTGGGTATTGGGTGTTCGGAAGCAGTTCGAGTTCTAACATTCTCAACAACCTTATGCCCGACACCGGGCCCACCCTCGTCCCCACTATGGTTGTCGGTCTCGCTGTCATCTTCGTCCTCCTCCAGCTCTTCGCCATCGGCCTCGTAGTTTTCATCAAACTCCCTCCATTGCATATCATTGGTGAACATCTGTTTAATCCCTTTGTTTTTCTTTTTGGCAGGTGTACTCTCAAGTGGCGTACGAGATCATGGAGAAGAAATCGGCGGACACGACAAAAGGGATATTCTCGAGAAGAAACCTAGTACCTCGTCTGATCCTCAGAACAATCTACATGGCGTTCTGCGGTTTCATGGCGGCCATGCTTCCGTTTTTCGGCGATATAAACGCGGTAGTGGGAGCGTTTGGATTCATACCTCTCGATTTCATACTGCCGATGCTTCTATACAACATGACGTATAAGCCCTCGAAAGGATCCGTCACGTATTGGGTCAATATGACGATCATGGTCGTGTTCACTGGCGCTGGCCTCATGGGTGCCTTCTCTTCTGTTAGGAAACTTGTTCTTGATGCCAACAAGTTCAAGCTCTTTAGCAGTGAAATTGTCGATTAGAACTTTGCTTTTCTGGGTTTATGACACGTGTTCGTTCGGTATTGGTTGTGTTTGTGTTTTTTCAAAAATCTCTCTGTCTACGCGGTCGGATAACGTGTGATTTTGGACCGAAGCAAACTTGCTTCGGCTCTTTCTGGGCCTCGACGAGTTTAGATGAAATATGGATGTGATGATACATGTAAATGTGAATGACGTATACATAATTTTCCTACTGTACATATATATATATATACGAGTCTTTTTTTTTTAATTACAAATTATATATGAATCGCTTCGAGCAAACAGAAATTTGAACGACGTCCGAGTAAACATGTAGAAATAAGTGTACGTATCGAAACATGATAACATATTAATGGTGATACATTTGTAAAGATAACTTTGAAAATTGAGCAAAAAAAACAAAATCAGCAGTTCTTTTTGGTTCGTCAAAATCAACCTTTTTATATTAAGTTGAACATTGTTTGCATGAACATCTTTTTGGTAAAACATATCTCCATGAACTCATAATGTGAAATATTAATATTATTATATAAGACATGAGCACGTGGCTAATTAAATTTGTCAAAGCCAACTAATAGAGGTTGTTCAGATAACACCGAATCATTCGGTATCAAACTATTTTCTAGACGATGAGACTGATATATAGAGAACGATATTAAAAATATTTCCATGATGGTAATATTTAAAATATGAATATATATATGATATATAATCGTGTTGTAGAATCGCATTTTAATGCAATAATATGAATAAAATTATTAGGCACGGTACTTCTTTTGTCCACGGTCAAAGGCTTTGTTCTCTACAACAATTAATTACAAGGAACGTTGATGAATCCAAATCGTTGGAAACATACATATTATAAATGAACTCATTTTCTGTCCTACATGCTGATATTCTAATTAATGAATGAATCAAAACCCTCCAAAAATGTGGCGACCTTTGCCTTTTATCTTTAGAAACATCAGACCCCTTCTGCTCAAATTAGGGAACGTGTTCGTGTTGGGCCATTTTTACAGTTAATATTTCTAGTATTCCTATATATATATATATTATACATTATTCAAGCGTCTTGAAACCTTATATTATATACAATGACACAATGTATATATACATTCATAAGTCAAATCGGTAAGATGGAACGAATTTTCAAATAAAACGACAAAAAAGGGATTATATATATATATATATATATATATATATTAATTGGAAAACAAAATTAATAACCGAAATTAAAATATTTGGCTAAGATTTACGTAATGGGCACGACTACGAATAGTCAACAAAGACCTAACTAATGAACCTATCACATATGGGCATTTATATAACACCAAAACGCACCTAATAATACAGTACTATTATGATATTTGGTGCATTCTATGCTGGTCGAAGTTCGACGAAATATTTGTTTCTTTGGCGGACGCGAGAGCTTTATATGCTCTATAAAATTTTTGAATATCTATATATATAGTTTGCACATATATATATATATATATATAATAAAAAACGATAGGACATAATAATACGAAACTATATTAAATGAAACAATAGGTATAATAATATAATTCTGGGTATTTATTTCGTGATTTCATTGTAGGATACGACAAAGAACGTCAATATATATATGTTTATATATAGTACATAAAAAAAAATATTGATAAAAAACGAAGTTGTGAATAAATAGGAAGAAATAAAGTGAAGGAGACAACGTATTGTATTATATTATATTAAATTGCAATATCCCCACATGAAAAAGAGTCAAAAGACCATGAAGTTCGCATCACATACAATTGCATGGTCTAATAAGTTTATATTTAGTTATTACAAAAGAAGATGCATGTAACGTTGGATCTTGAACATATCCAAAGACTTTGGGCTTTCAGGGTATCGTAAATAAACATATATAATTTTTTTTTTAAAAAAAAAACAAGTTGAAGAAAGAAAGGTGAGAATTAAATGCGAGAGAGATCTTCTTATTAAATGCGTTATCTTCGTTTGCACAGATCGTGAAGTTCACCACTTTACCGTCTTCATACCTGGAAATTTCTTCGCTACGCGTTCCACTCTTCACCAAACACCCAAACCCTCTCTCTCTCTCTCTCTCTCTCTCTCTCTCTCTATACACACACATATAAACGAATATATGATACATGTGTATGCAACTACCACCGCAAGAAAAGCTCACAGATTTCCACAGTTTTCGGCCAAATATTTTCTGGGTATATATATATATCGTTGATTTTCTTGTGTTTGGTCTGAAAACGCGATAAAAGATTAAGGTTCATATATATATATGGAGGTCGAAATCAAAAGCACAGGAATGACGACGACGACAATAACAACAAAGGCGGATCAAGTCGATGAAAAGAAGAAGACGAGAGAGCAGGTGAATGGTCACGATCTCGGACAAGAACTTGTTGAAGAGGTTAATATACGACAAGAACATGATCTGGAGATGGAGCCTTCAACACGGACACCAGAAGAAACGCGTCTCGATTCTAAGAACGGTAAAACGGCGATGAAGATGACGACGGATGGTAAGTTTGACTTGTTTATTTCATTTTCATGTCGCATATGTATAAATCTAAAGTTATATCACAATCTTTAATTAGGATGGATGCTATTTTTCTGGGTAATTCCAATGGGCTTTTTTTTTTTTGGTGATTTGTTTTATCTTTTTTTAATAAAAAAAATCAAACATAATGGGCACACAGCTTATCTATTTATATATTTTGTATTTCTCAATATGATAACATATTTGACTAAATTAATATTGGATTATTTGCTTTTTATAAATTTCCGTATTAATGTGTCTTGATTGACCTTGCGCCTATTTCGTGATTTTCTCCGAAATTATTCACTCTGAATTCGCGATTTTTCAGACAAGAAATTCAGAGCAAAAAACCCGGAAATGACAGAAAAGGAAGATCAGAATGATAATTTGGGACAGATCCCAGAAAAATCCAAAACAGAAGATCCTCAGGAGGAGAGTTTCGGACAAAACCCAGAAGAGAAAAGGCAAGAGGATGATCATAAGCATCTGAGCAAGACGACGAAATCACATGTCTGGGACTGCGGAAGCACACTCTACGACTCGTTCGAGCTCAACTCGTTCAAGCGCCAACTCGACTCGGCCATCTCCGCCGCCTCCGCTAGGTCCATGTCCATGCCCCACCTCCCCAACCGCCGTCTTCCGCCCTCCGTCACGGCGGAGTTGGCGGAGGCGGCTCCTCGTCCTCCTCCGCCGCAGAAATCCTCCTCCTCCTCCTCCGGCAAGATAAAACCCTCGAACAAGATCTCACGGTCTCTCCAGAAGCTCCTCAAGTCCGTATTCAGGCTGAAACATCACAACCACAGCTCGTCGTGGTCGTCGACCTCGTCATCATCAGCTCCTTCCTCGCCGGCGTTGAAGGCGATTCACGGAGCCGATGTGGATCGATACTACGTCGTTTACGACAAGTCGGGGTCTCTGACGACGATTCCGGAGTCTGCGGAGACAGATGTATGTCCGCCGGAGATTTCTTCGCTTGTCCGGAAAACGGCCTCGGAGAGATTCACGGCGGCTCGCGTAGTTGGTATTTCATGTGCTTGATTATCATTATTATTAATATAAAATATTATGTAATTACATATGCCTCCTGTAATATGATATGGTACGACTCCAGAGTCCTTAAAATAGTTTAGCCTGTTGCTTGCGGTTATGGCCTATGGGTGCTAATAAAATTTTAATGACTTCTTTTTTTATTTGTTTTGAAAAGAAAAACAGAATGCTTATGTGGAAGATTACTATAATGATGGGCCCAATAACTATCAGCTACTGTAGTTAAATGGGCTTTATCACTTCGTGAACACGAAACCCAAGTGGGCCACGCAATTCGAACTCTTATAATTCATACGCGCACATGTGGCGCGTGAGTCTCACTGCCTCAAAATCTCTGCACTATATAGCCCACTGATTTGGCCTTTTTTCAGAAAAATAGAAACGTGGCGCGTAGAGACGTTTACGCGTTTCAAATTCAATCTGTTTTTCCTACAACAACATGAGCGTTTTGGTAACAGTAAAACGACATGCATTTGACTTTCTAAATCCTAAAACGGCAAGACGTTCTCAACTCTATCTTTTCTGGTCTTTCCCACGACCAACATCCTCCACCATTTTCCCCGAGGTTGTAACTCCGGAGAGAGAGAGAGATGATTCCGGTTCATTACAATCCTCCGGCGACAATCTCCGCCGTTAGGTTTATGGGCCTGTGTCCGATCTCACAAAGGAACTCTCAGAAACTCTGTCGATCTCTGGGATCTAACCCCATCGTCATAAAGAGAAGCTTCTTCTTTAGAGAGACGACGGAGTACGTCAGAGGAGGAGAGATTGTGTGCGGCGCAGGAGGTCTGCTTCCGGTGGACCCGTGGGCTCCGACCGTCGATTCGCAAAGCATTGCATCTCAGCTCTTCGCGGTATCTCTGTTCCCATACATCGGGTTCCTCTACTTCATCACCAAATCCAAATCCGCGCCTAAATGGACACTTTTTGGTTTCTATTTCTTGCTTGCCTTCGTCGGAGCCACAAGTAAGTTCCTCTCTTCTCGTTGCCCTTCTCGCACGATGTATCTGTTTGCCTACAAAAACTCTCTTGCGTTTGCGTTTGCGTTTTGGAATTAGAGCCCTAGCCCTTGCTTCCCAATTCAAAACGCAACCGATGCGTTTGCAATTGGCGTACTCAGAGAGTCCAGAGCTCTTAAACCTTATGGCTATTGATTGACTGATTTGTTTGTAATGGCTTTGCGGTGGATACACAGTTCCGGCTGGGATTTACGGTAATTTCCCACAAAAATACCTTTTTTTATTTTCTCTAAATTAATTTGGTTTATCTTCAATTGATTTCTTCTATGATAATCATGCTGATGCTTTCTGGTGATTCTTCCATCGGTTTCTTTGTGGATTTGTAGCAAAGGTCCACTACGGAACTTCGTTGTCAAACGTTGATTGGTTACACGGTGGGGCGGAATCACTTCTCACTCTCACCAACTTGTTCATAGTGTTGGGGCTCCGACAAGCTTTGAGGAAGTCCGAAGATCCGCAACTCCCAGACGAAGCTCCCACAGTCCAGGAACAGGAAAAGTCTTCACTCTCGTAGATAGATTATGTTTCTCGGCTTAATTACATCATCAACTGCATAATTTATTCAAAAACAATCTTTCAATTTAAATTTGTCGTAAAAAAATATCAACCATAAGTTTTGAAAATCAATTATCTAAGTTACTCAAAAAAAATATGGGACAAATCCAAAAAAATATCAACCATATTATATCTTTTTAATTGCAACTATACAATCTCTTCTTCCACCACAAGTCAAAGAAATTATTAACTAAGTCATTAAATTTTTAATACATGTCAACGTTACTTTATGATTCAATCTACATTATAGTTATTTGAATCGACAAATGAAATTTAGTTCATTAGTTTTTTTATCACCCAATTGAATTACAAAACACAAAATGTTGATTATATAGAAAGATAAACACAATAATAATTTAATGACTTAGTTAATAATTTCTTTGAGGGTTTTAAATAAAGAATTTTAAATATGAGGTTTAATTTTAGCAAGTAATAAAGTTTAGAATTTTTTTTTGGGTTTGTCAGAAAAAATATTATACAAGAAATCTATTATAAAAATCTATAAATTTTGAACAAAATATATATAAAAATTATACAATTCTAAATATCACAATAAAAATATTAATATTCATATAATTTATCATATTGTAACATTTATGATTTATATAAATACTTATAAACATAATCTTTAAATAATAAATTTATATACAAGTATTCTAATTAAAGTGAACATATTTTATTGATTGCAAATTTTATATCTAAAATTTTATAGTCTATTAATATTTTATATTTGGTATAATATCAATATTTTATATAAAAAATAATTAAAATATTATGTAGTATACAATTTATGTATAACTTCATTATATAAGAGATAGTATATATTTTCTATAAGTAAAATAAAAATATGATTTATGTTGTTTAAAACAAAAAATAATAGATTTTTTTAATAAATTAAAAATAGAAAGATTTTATATGTAATATTGTAGGGATGTCAATTAAGTCCGAAACCCGAAACCCGAAATCCGAAACCCGGTCCGAACCCGTCCGAAAATAATAAGGATGTGGGCCTAAAAATATAGGCTCATTAAATATAGGGTTTTCGAGTCTCGGACTAAATGGGTTGCGGACCAATGGGGTCGAGCCGGTCGGGTCTCGGGTCAGACTTGAAGTCCATTAATTATTTTTCTAACTCTTTTTTTCTAAACCAAAGCTTTACCTTTCTATAATTATCCTAACTTTTTTTTAACCATATTACATCATATATTGGATAATCTTCTTTTGTATTATTATTTTTCTACTAAATCAAACTTAATATTTGCTATTTGATTATGTTTTTTGTTTTATATTTTTGTTCTCACTCTGAATTGGTTTTGTTTCGTACTAGTGGATTGGATTTTGATCTTCGATGCGTATAAACAAACACATATGCTATATATATGTGTGTGTGCGTATTTTTGAACCAAATGACAAAGTTTTATCTTGGTTCCAATTAACACCTTTTAAAATGACAGAATCTTTTATTTTTTTTAATCATATTACATCATATATATATATCAATTTATACTTTTGAAAATATAGAAACTTTCAAATATATATATTTTAAAAGTTTATTTGCATATGAACATATTGATTCTTTTTCTATAGGTTTCAAATGAATTACATCATATAATGTCTTTTTATACCATGTTTGCTTTTTTTTATATTTCACATTATTATTATTATCATCATCATCATTATCATCATCGCAAAAAAAATATTTTTATTTGATAAAAAAATCTGAAGCCCGGTCCGAACCCGTCCAAAGTCCTATAGAACCGGGTTCTGGACCATCGATCCTGACCCAAAAAATAAATGGAGGGACCGGCCCGACACTATAAGAAACATCAAAATTTGCGACAGAAAAATCTGTCGCAAATACAAAAGAATATCTGTCGCAATTACAAATTTGCGACAGATTGCGACAGAATCATTTCTATCCGTATATTGTTGTCGCAAAAGTTTGTCGGTCGTTAATCTGTCGCATTGCGACGGACAAAATCCGAGTTTTACGACAGAATTGCGACAGAAAAATCTGTCGCAAATATCTTTTTTAATATTTAAAAAAAAAAAACAAAAAAATCTACGTTTACTATAGATTTGCGACATAAAAATCCGTCGCTAATATTTTTTTAATTTAAAAAAAATATAAAAAATATATTATACATATACACATATATATGTATATTCACATACACATATACGCATATATTACACATATACACATAAATTTATATATATATATACACATACACATATACATTTACATATAGACATATATATACATACATATATACACATACATAAACACACATTTATACATATATATACACATATAAATTTACATACACATACATATATATTACACATATGCACATAATTATACATATACACATAAATTTATATACATATATATATACATACACATATATTCATATACATACATTTACATACACACATATATACATATACA